ATCAAGTCATACTTGATGAAGCCACCTGTGCTAACCGCTCCTATTCATGGTCGCCCACTAATCCTCTATATCTCCGCCCAAGATAGTTCTGTGGGCGCCTTGCTTGCTCAGGAAAACGACAAGGGGAAAGAGAATGCCCTCTACTATCTTAGTAGAATGATGACCCCGGACGAGTTAAAGTACTCCCCAATTGAAAAGCTATGTTTGGCACTGGTATTCGCCATCAAAAAACTTAAGCACTACTTTGAGGCTCATACCATCCGGCTTGTTTCCAAAGCGAACCCGGTGAAGTATGTTATGGTGAAGGTCGTGCTCTCCAACCGCCTTGCAAGGTGGTACTTATTGTTTCAACAATTTGAAATCATCTATGTGCCGCAGAAGTCTGTCAAGGGGCAAGCCTTAGCCGATTTCCTAGAAGATCACCCAATAACTGCTGAATGGGAGCTGCCTGATGAAGATGTGCTTGTTAGTGAAGTCCCACCCCCATGGAAAATGTACTTTGATGGAGCTTCGCATAGAGAAGGGGCAGGTGCTGGAGTTGTCTTCGTCACTCCAGAAGGCGAGGTGTTGCCATATTCATTCACCTTGACCGAGAAATGTTCAAACAACGTTGCTGAGTACCAAGCATTGATACTTAGGCTCGAAATAGCGGCTGACATGAAGCAACTGAGAATTAACATTTATGGAGATTCAAAGTTGATCATAAACCAAGTGTTGGGTCTATATGAAGTGAAAAAGGCGAAGTTAGTCCCATATAACAACTATGCAAAGATACTCATGCAATGGTTAGGGGACGTCACAATTGAACACGTACCGAGGAAAGAAAACAAGCATGCTGACGCCTTAGTCGCATTGGCTTCAACTATTGCTCATCCTGCAGCCCGAGTACAAGTATGTCAAAGGTGGGTAGTTCCGCCAATCTTCAATGAAGATGGCTCAGTTGATGAAATTGTTGAACTCCCTACTGCCTCAGTTTATGATATAGGCAAAGACGACTGGAGGCAACCACTGGTTGACTACCTCACTGATGGAAAGTTACCCGAAGATCCGTGTAAGAGGGTGGATATAAAGCGTTGAGTTCCTCGCTTCATCTACTATAAAGAGACGTTGTATCGTCGTTCATTCGAGGGAGTCTTTCTCCGATGTCTAGGGGAAGAGGAAGTTTTACAAGCTATGCAAGAAGCTCATTCTGGGGTTTGCGGTGCACATCAATCCGGTCCCAAGTTACATTTCCATATTAAGCGAATGGGCTATTATTGGCCTACAATGGTAAAGGATTGCACAGACTACGCTCGAAGGTGTCAAGCTTGTCAATATCATGCAAACTTTATCCATCAACCACCAGAACCTCTACACTCAACAGTTGCATCTTGGCCATTTGATGCTTGGGGACTTGATGTGGTTGGCCCAATTACGCCTAAGTCATCTGCAGGGCATGCATACATATTAGCTTCCACCGACTACTTTTCAAAGTGGGCGGAAGCTGTGGCATTGAAGGAGGTGAAGAAAGAAAATGTTGCAGACTTTCTTCGTGTCCACATTGTCTATCGATTTGGTATCCCGCGATATATCTTAACAGATAACGGGAAGCCCTTTGACAACAAGTTGATGGACAAGATCTGCAAGCTTTTTGACTTTAAGCAGCGAAACTCATCAGCTTACTATGCAGCTGCTAATGGCCTTGCTGAAGCTTTTAACAAGACCCTATACAATTTGTTGAAGAAAGTGGTCTCAAAATCGAAAAGGGACTGGCATGACAGAATGGAAGAAGCCTTGTGGGCGTATAGAACAACATACCGCACACCTACTCAAAGCACTCCATACTCTTTGGTGTATGGTGTAGAAGCGGTCCTGCCTCTAGAGCGCCAAATACCTTCCTTAAGGTTAGCTATACAAGAGGGCCTTACTGATGAAGAAAATGCTAAGTTACGCCCGGCTGAGTTAGAAGCCTTGGATGAAAAACGTCTGCAAGCGCAACAAAGCTTGGAGTGCTATCAAGCTCGCATGTCAAGAGCTTTTAACAAAAGGGTAAGTCCTAGCTTTTCATAGGCCCATCATTGTAAAAAAAAAAAAAAAAAAAAAAAAAAAAAAAAAAAAACCCGCCACAAGTTCACTTCAAGGTGGGATGGTCCCTACGTGATTCTAGAAGTTTACATCGGTGGAGCTTATAAGCTGATTAGTGAAGATGGTTTGAAGATCGGTCCGATTAATGGAAGGTTCCTAAAGCTTTACCACCCTTAAACTTGGGGTTTCAACACAAGTCATGAAGATGTGATGAATGACTGATCCACCAAAAATGCAGCACGTGGTTAAACTTTTAATGCATCTCGCTTTGTCTATGGGTGGGCCCAAATCATAGACGCTCCTGGCCCGCATGAGTCTAAACTGTGAACGGCTCTACTTTGTAAAAAAAAATCATTTGAACTACGTTTGACTTGATCTCCTTGATAGGAGTACGTAGGCAGCTTAGAATCAAATTATATAAGTTCAGTCATAACAGAAACAAGTCCAATTTATGTTGCAAGAGTGGTTTATCAAGACAATCATTCAATGGGTCAAAGCAAAGATGTACAAGTTATTGCTAAAAGACAATGAGAAGCACTCAATTATCAAGAGCTAAGGAACGAAACAGCAATAGTCTTGCAACCAAAAAGAAAAATGACTAAAGGAAAAATAACATCAGTCGATGAAAAACTTAAAGGTAAGAATGTCATCTTTACATGCCTCTAAGCTTCTCTTGGCCTCATTCAAGCTCTCCCCATCTTTTGGAGTCAACAGAGTCAACCCTTAAATGAGAGAGACTTCTACCTTGGCATTTGGGACTGAATTCGCCTCAGAAGCGATAGAAGTGTCATAATCACAGCCATAGGGGCAAACCCTTCATGAAATTTTAAAGGAAAGAAGCTACAATTTTAAAGGAAAAAAGCTACAGGATACTCTCTAGCACGAGTCGAAACTGCCTCATCTTGTAAGACTCCTGGCACGAGTCGAAACTGCCTCATATCTTTTCAAGACTCCTTTGATGCATATTATATATATATGTACTCAAGCAAACATTAATTGTGCATGTGTATATATATTATATATGTTAGGTACGTGATATAGACAAAAATATGGAAAGCAAACATGGATGATGTACATATGCGCACCAACGTCACTAAGCGTATATTATGTGCGTACATATGTATATATATGATAGGCAAAGTGAAAATGCCAAACATATATATATATCGTATACATATATATACAGTCGCATGGACTAGTGGAGTAATATATATATATATATATACACATGGGCAACATATATATATTATGTATACATATACACTGCTACACGAAAAATAAGGGCAAAGTGAAAAGCAAATATATATTATATATGGTATATTCACAGCAAACATACATTATGCATGTGCATATATATTATATACGTATATATGTGCACAAGAGAAATAAAGTGTGTGAGATATATGTACATAATCCATGCAAGGCATATAGGTATATTATATGAATATATATATGGAGGCACACAAACTGACAAACAGTGGAGCATCATTAAAAGCAAATCAAAGGACACGCAAAGTAGAGGAAACACATTAAACCGCGTGAAGCATTAAACGTAGTTGGCAGCCATATGCATTTTGCACCCACAACTTGCAACATGGCAAAGCAAACAAAATATACGTTATATATACACTGACACACGCAGGAAAAATAAAACTCCAACAGACACGTAGAAAAAGAAGGGTAGAAAGCACCTTGTTTTGTCATATCGGAGAGATGGTCAAATGGGGCGTAATCAAGTCTTAAATCTGTGAAAGAATTCCCGTGGAATTCACCGTATCCATGGCGTTGTCGAAGTTGCCATAGTTTCCAGCGTCCAAAGCTTGTAGAGTTCTTCCGTCTTCTCCATCGTAAGTGCGATGAGAATAGAGAAGCATCGAGAGTTTTAGCAGCGTAGCTGCGTCCATAGCAATGATGAGTCCCTACGGCAATAGTGCCTATGGCAGCAGCAGAGGCGTGCCTGAGCGAGTGGCCATGGAATCAAGTCAAGGCTTGGAGAGATCTTCCCCTGCGAAGGCATCCCTATGTCGTAGGACAACGGCAATGTGGCGGAGCACATGCCCGCAATCAATCGGCAATGTGGCGGAGCACATGCCCGCAATCAGTCCTCCGGCAACAGTTCTATCGGAAGCTTCACATGCAGAACCAAGAAAGAGAAAAGAAGGAAAAGAATAGTTTTATTGTTATATACTTTTGTTACAAAGATTACCAGTAACCTCAACATATATATAATAAAGATAAAAGTATTGTAACTTCCTAGGATAAGGAAAGAACATAAAAGTCCTTTATTCTATAATGCTAGAATTTAGGAATGAATTGATGCATGATTTTTGGAGTCTAATATTTATGAATGAATTGCTGCATGATTTTTGGAGTCTAATACCCTCCATAAACTGGAGCATGGAGTGTAAGTCATTCCTACTTAATACAAGATCTTCAGAACACATGTTTTTCACATACAGTAAAATAGCTTTCTGGGAACATATCTGGCTCCATTGTTTTCCCGTAGTTGCTTGAGTTAGAAACTTGGTTTCTCCCTCCAGACCTTTAACATTCACTTAATCTAATTCTCTGATGGGGAGAGTTTTAGTTCTTAGAGAGGTTGGGGAGAGGACCAGAGTCTCATATATGAAATATAAATAATAATACGTTCCATCAACGTAAACCTGATGATATGCAGTTGAAACTGCAATCTTATCTTCTTAACTGGCCAATCACAAGATTATCTTCATTATTAAATTATAAATAAATATTTAATTATGAGCCACAATAAATTATAATGAACCATAGAATAATAATAATTATTATTATTATTCTAACATTCTCCCACTTGGCTCATAAGTCATAAATTTAATAATGAACTTGAAACATAATATGCATAGTATAAGTTAATTCCTTCGTTATATTGGTCAGAACATAAGTCATCGTTAAGTTAGAAATTAATAAGAATCATACCTTGTATCGTTGCATAATCCTAGTGTGTGATCAATATTTCTCAAAAGCATAACAGGTGACCCAACTTTTAATGTCAAAGCATGATTTGGTACTCCAGAACATCTAAGGCCATTCAAGAATTCTGGAGTGTGCAAATCTGCTAACATATCAACATTTGAATTTGATTTACAAACGGAATCACAACTCAAATATGTCTGTCCGTCAGCCGGATTATGGTCATTCATGTATTCGTTAATGCTATCTACGACATCCAATGTTGGAGCCAAAATTGCACTATCATTGAGGTATAACAGATCAACCATCCCTTGTCTAAAATTCGGGAAGGTGCTATCAACAATTGTGGCAATAGGGTCATCCTCACACTCGAGCAATAAACGTTCTGGAATTGTAATATCTGACCCACCATCAAATTGAATAACGATCGTTCCATCACCTATATTAGCTATACATTTTGCAAAGTCGTCGATCTCTCGACACTCGATTTCTGACTGTACACTTCTTAGTCGTAGATTCTTAGTCAGTCGCAATACTTTGTAGGATTTCCATAGATATGAGGAGCTAATGCTAGCATGGACAATATCCTGTCTAGTACCCTTCGGAATGACTGGTAAAATTTGTCTGAAATCTCCACCTAGCACCACTGTTTTACCACCAAATGTCATGTCATAACTCCTTGGATTTTGGAAACGCATCAAATCTCTCATAGTTCGATCTAGGGCTTCAAAACAAAATTTGTGCATCATTGGAGCTTCATCCCATATGATCAACTTGCTTTGCCCAATAAGCTCGGCCAGCTGACTGCCGTGACTTATATTGCAGGTTGAATCTTCATTAACAGAAATCGGTATGGCAAATCGAGAATGTGCAGTTCTGCCTCCTGGTAATAAAAGCGACGCTATACCGCTGGATGCAACATTTAACACTATCTCTCTTTTAGACCTTAGTGCGGAAGACAATGCACGCCACAAAAAAGTCTTTCCAGTACCTCCATAACCGTAAACGAAGAATAAACCTCCTAACTGGCCATCAATATCGGTTAACACCTCATTGTATATTACCTTTTGCTCATCAGTTAATTGACTTACCAACTCCATGTTCTCTTTCTCTTGTTCCAAACAGTCGTATGCTAATTCCTCCTGTATAAACCTGTTCGATATAATATGTAATGCAGTACAGCATGCAGCAGGCATTTCAGGATAGTCCTTCAAACTCTTTCCATGAATAGATAATAGTTTTTCAATCTCCACTAAAGCAAAGTTCATTTTATGCGATCGCTCAACACAAAATCTGCATAATGTTATATAGATTTTAATATTTAACATCCCTAGATTTAATTTAACTTTATATGGTGATATCAATATAACGAAAAGTAGTGGTGGAATGTATGAGTACCTCTATTGTGCAATTGTTTTCGGATATTGAATTGTGCATCATCTGACAAATGTGGCCACACAGCATACCAAACGGTCTCATGTTTACCCATGCAACTGCTCATTAGCAATGTAACAAATAGTCTCCTCAGTTGATCTGTTGACGCCCAATGACTGGCTTCTTCAACTGCATCAACATATTCGTTATCATCATCAACTAAACCTCTTGCATAACACGCGTCTCGAAATGAGTCATAGATGACACCATTTACAGTCCTGATATCTTCAAAACTTGTAGGCCCACGTATTTTATTCAAGAGATACCTCAAATAAAATATTTCGCCAGTAGCTGGGGGAACATAAAATATCTGACCAATTGAGAAACCTTTTTTCCTTAGTTGCCATTTTCGGACGTCTTTCTTCCAAACGAATTTTGTGGGCATTTCAACATAAGTTAGCTCTCTTGCATTTGGGAAAGTTTTATTCGCTTCAAACCATTCTAAGAACATGTTTTGTGCTATTGTTGGTCTATTTACAATGTTCTCGACAGGATCGTCATATGAAAATATCACGCTTTGTTGATTTGGAAGGTGAAAGCTTAACCTTTCAACTGAAGGCGCCCTAAGTTGTATATCAAAACCAAACAAACGCCAAACTGCTTCACATGGTGATATGTACCTACAATCGTAATACATATTGATCTCATCTATTGCTTTCCCCTTTTTCTTCATCACTGGTTGTGTTGTAGAATTCTGCAGTTACTCTGTCATGACCCTTGTTAACGTACTTGAACAGGTACTTGATTGAGCGTGACTGGTTGCACCACTCCACATTTATGTGAGCCTTATACTTAAGCAATAAATGTCTGTTGTGTGGTACAACATACCTGTTGTCCAATGCGATCCCGTTCTTTGTAACTATATTGCCGTTGTCTCTCCTTCTATATACCGGGTACCCATCAGCATCAAATGTAGAACTCTCAACAAATCTCTTAGGAAAATGTTTCGAGCATCGTGCATTTACCATACATGGAGAATTTGTCCTTGCTTTTCCACATGGCCCATGCATCATAAATTCCTCCACCCCTTTGTAATATTGCACATCTGTCTTTTCATCTGGTATCTCTGCAGAAATTATTTTATCTAGCGTAACAACATCACTAACATCTTGATTCTTTCCCAAAAAAAGCAATATATGAGCATGAGGGAGACCCCGCTTTTGGAACTCAATTGTATATATAACTGTAACATAAACAAAAAAAAAAAAAAAAAAAAATCAACGTATGGTAATTTTCTTAATTGTAAACACATGAATGTGAACTTAAACTAAAATATTACCTCCAGCAACAGAGCCAAAAAGTTTATTCTTTCGACAATCAGTAATCAAAGAATCCAACTTCATCTTGAACAAACGGCAGATTATGTCAGGTCGGTCTTCGGCTTTCAACCTGCGATCTTTTAGAAAACGTTGTACCTCAGGCCACTTTGGGTTGCATGTAAATGTTATAAATAGATCCGGATAACCAATCCATCTACATATTGCCATTGCATCTTGGTAGTTTTGTATCATGTACCGAGCACCACCTGTGAAACTTGAGGGTAGTATTATTCTTCGACCTTGTGCTGCAGGGTTTACTTCACCCCTGGTTAAAGCATCAGTCAATCCACTGTATGATTCACATCTTAAGCTTTTTTGATGTGTCCTGATATAAATGAGTCTTCCAGACTCCACCATCGTGTATGCATCTACCACAAACTGTTGTAACAGGCGCTTTGCAAATAGCAACGTACTGGTAATAGAATCTCTTGTCTGTAACCGATAGCAGAAATACTCCCTGTGACTAATCCTATGTCGACCACCGGCTGAACGACTGCTATGTACGTTAGAGAATGCAATGTTTTCCCGATATCCATCTTCACCATATGGAAACAACAGGGGGTATTGCAGTGGGAGGTATGAAGGATTTAATTCACTAATTCTTTGCAATTGCCCACCTTTAGCTTGAACAACAATATCATGCTCACCAATATTGGTATCCAGATCTCCAACTATTAACGCTGCTACTTCAGACACTTGAGGCAGGTTGTATGTCCTTGCATCTTTAGTGCGTTTCCCTAATAACTTTATTTTGACTTCAGCGCATGGGTTACTATCAAGCTCAGATCTAGCCATCCGAAAAGACTGAACCAAAACATTATTTTGATCCAACTCATTCTGAATGACATTCACTATTTCTACGTGAATGTCATCTTGATCAACTCTACCCCTACAATCACGCATCAATGCATTGCTAAGCTGATAGATAAAATATCACATTTTAATTGGAAAAAAAGTTCTATGCTTACCTCACAGCCTTTATACGGTTGTTCTTTTCATTTGCCGTATCGTATATGTACAACTGAGCAAAATGTGGTTCTTTTCCGTCTTCTGGTAGGAAACTGCCCATTAAGTGATAGTTTTGACCACTTAACCTGAACACAGGTGGTGCTCCGCCCTTGTTCAAGCTCTTGTCTATCTTTCCGCCCATTGATGTGAAGCAAAACATGGCGTTGTATGTTCTGATGTCCTGGAGGAATTTTTTTGATAATTCATCATTGCCAAAAAATAGGTCAAATATACCTTTAGGTGGCAACGCATTCTCCTGTAACTTAATCTTGCCATTGTTGCAGCACAATGGAAACATCGGTGGACCTTTAGAGGAATAGTTTTTCTTCCTTTCCTCGACCCAAAACAACGCCCCACAATGGACACAACTATTGCTTGCATCACCGAAATCATAATACTCTTCTGCAAACAAATTGTTGTTTAAATATTCTTCCAAAAAAAGTGTACATGCATCGCTATGTTTAAATATGTATACGAACAAAAATACCATTTGCATGAATAGAGGATGTTCTGGTATCGAAGTTATGCGTTTCATCGTCAATTGTTATGTTTAAATCTGTATACGAACGAAAAAAATTTAATTAACTAATGAAATGTGCAAGTGTTAAATTTGACTATGGTAGCGTTCGTTACGAAAAGATACAGGTCGTAAGAGTACCTGGTATGCACGGGTTTGGCATTGGACTGCGTAAAGGGATAGATTCCTCATCGTCAATCGGAATGTTTAAATCTGAATATATAAACATTACTATAAATGAATATGAACTGAACGACATCGTTCAATTTGAGTTTAGTATAATTCGTTAAAAACATATTTGGTTAGTAATGTTACCTGGTATGGCGTCATTGCGAATTTGTAGACGTAAAGGGACAGACTCCTCTTCAAAGGCTGATAGCAAATCTCTTTGAATTACATGTCCTTCTTCAATTGCCGAACCATGTATTGTTTTACCAATATGAACTTGACGTGGTGATCTACAACCTAAATTTAATACAATATTCAAATTAACAAATATACCTATCTTTTAAATGTTTTAAGATTATATAACATATTAGTCTACGACGTTACCAGTTAAGCACGACTTAGGTACGGTGGATATTGTGTTTTGTTTCACTTCAAGAACAATTCCTTGCCGGTTGGAAGAAATTACGTGTGTTTGGGAAGAACCTACTGTAATCATATGTAATTCATAAACATTAATATGCCTTATATAATATTAATACAACCAAATAATTTGACAATAATATTCGATCATAATATAATAAACAGGATATGTACATTCACAAATAATGTATACCACTCAATTGTAGATGATTTACCGTTTGTGATATTACTCAATGGTGTGATATTTTCAGTCAAACACCCTGCAATTGAAGGACGTGTTCGGCGCAATGGTGTAGGTTGCTCTACATTATGCGAATCATTACTTGTTGCTGGTGAAGTCAAGCAAGTATTCTCTGTGAAATAGAATAACAAATTATAAAAATAAAAATTATGACATTACGTAAATTCATATCACATCACATAACCTAATAAAATTGAAATTGAACCACATAAACTTGTAAATGATATAAATCACGTTCAAATTAAAAGACAAAATATTTGTTGTTCCATCAATTTACTGATAATGTGTAGTATTCATTGTATTAAAATAACATAAGTAGCAAATTTATAAATTAAGTACACATAACATAATAAGTTAACAAAATTCGAAAGTTTGCCAATTAATTACACATCACATAATTAATTTCAATTTTTGTGTACATAATTTTATAATTGAAAAGGCAAAAATTATAAGGCATAAATTATATTAAAATTTATGCAGTGGATCATCCTGGACATATTTGTGTGGACAATGAGTAACATTATCATAAAAAATAAAATATCGTATTACAAAATTTATTCACATTTTGGTACACATAACGCACTTACACTTGTAAGCCAATACAACATATTCATGTAATTAGTGTCAGTAAGACACATTAAAAGGAAAATTACATGGTGGTCCATGGACCAAAAAATATTGTGTACCTTGGACCACAATTTAGTGTGAACCACGTTTAAATATATAATTAAATATTATATATCATAAATATCTATTTTATAAATTAAATACACATAACATAAGTTATTTTAATATTTTAGAACATAAATTTGTAATTTCTATAAAACAACATAACCTTATGAAATAAATTGCTGAAAATTACAACATAAAAAAAAAAAATATATATATATATATATATATATATATATATATATATATATATATATATATTATTTACTATTTCAGGGCAGCTCGAAATCTCTTCCCAAATTTCACGATCTCTCTGTCAATACTCTACCTACATCATCCTACTATGATTCTTTTTACCTTCATCTCTTCACAGCCAGACAATTTGTATATTTGTTATCAAATCGCGTCTAGATCGCGATAATCTTCTATGCCTATATCGTCTAAAATCTGTCCTTTCTGGGTTCGATTTGTGAAATCAAGCTTGATTTGAGCTTGAAATCTGCCTAGATTGAAGATACTGATCTCATTCAAGGTTAGGATGAAAGTTGTATTTTCAAAATTGCAGTTAGGGTTTTTTCGTTTTTAGTTTATTTTCGACTATGCATGAACATTGATCTTGTCTAATAAACTTATATGATATCTGGAACTTTAATTCCAGAATTGAATGATTCATATAAGCTGTGGTTATAAGTTGATTTTGTTTTACTGTTAATCTATAGAACTATGACTATTTCATTTTACTGTTAATCTATAGAACTATTACTATCTGCTATACATTTTGTAAAACATGTAATTGTAGTATTAAACATACAACTTGGTTAACTGGTTCAATTTTTTTTGCATATACACTGAGAGGACAATACTTTGGAGTAATGAGAGGCAATCTATAGCAGATACAAAGTAGTTAATCAGACTTTTGAATTCAGCTTAGCGGGATAGGCAAGTCTAAAAAAGATAAGTTTCAAAAATACCTTTATTTTCTTCCTGTGATTTCCTTTTGATGCCTAGAATAGTTGACTTGGTAATCTGCCTCATTAGCTTGTATATTCTTTTTTGCTGAAACAGAAGTTTTGAAAATAATTTTTGGACTGAGCTATATGAAATTGTCTAAGTTTTGAATATAATCTTTTGTCTGAACTATAAAATTAAATGACTGCTTTGCTTAAGTAATTTAACTTATTTGATTTTTTGATATCCGCACTGGAACTGAAGGGTTTTTTATTCTATGTAATGATAGTAAAAAGCACTTGTTGTATTTAATATCCAAATCATTGTTTTTTTCAATAACAATGAGCAACTGTTAGTTTCACACACCTTCTATGTGGTATTACCTACTTCTTATAATTGGCTACCAAAACATTTCATTCCAGTTATTAACAGAATCTATAATATATGTGTTCCATTTTTCTATATAGGCAAAGAAATGATGAATTAGAGGCATTTGAGAGCATACAATAATCCAAAAGCGAGCATGTAGACGAATAAAACTGAAGGTCGTTCATCTCACATATTAGGTTCACATTTTGTACTTGATTTAGTCTATTTTCAGTAGTTGTTATTCCCATGATGGTATATATTTTGTAATTTTGGTCATTGCGCACATTAAAGAAATAGTTAGACAAACTTTGATTGAATTTTACCCGTGTATTTGCAGAAAATTATACAAAATTTTCTTGTTTTTGCCTTTTGGAATAAAAACTATACTTGAGGAGATTAGTCTTTCAAACTACTCTAGTCAGTAAATTTCTATAATTTTCTGTCTTTAATTGAGGGGAATTACAACATTTCTTCTATACTTGCACAGGAAAACCAACGGGAAAATATTTGCAGTCTTGAGGCAACTTTGGTGAGGATTAGCAGATCTGGAAACGAATGGGAAACTATTTGTAGATCTGGGAATGCTTTTGTGATGTTTAGCAAATCTGGAAAGCTACGGGAAAGTATCTGTAGTGGAGAGAATGCTTTAGTGTTTAGCAGGTCATTAAGGTACGCTTACTAACTATATAAAAATAAATTCTAAGTGGTATAGCTGTAACTGTAGTCCTATGTGTCGTACATGTACTTAAATGTATTGCTTGCATGTTTAAGTAGAAATAGCTGTAACAGTGACTTATGAAATGTGGTTTTTTTTTTTTTTTTTGCTTAATAGTCTGTATTACTTTCATTTTACCAAATCTTAGAAGTTAATACTTACTAAATTCAAATGCATCTGTATTCTAATCTGCCTATTTGCCTCAATTTTCTTGCTTGACTGTAATACGCCTATGTGCCAAAAAAACATTTAATGTGTGTTAGTTCATTACATATTTGCATTCTTTACTAACTTTTTTTGTCCAGGAAATTGGCATATGATGAAAAAAAAAAATCTAATGCCCATAGTTTACTGAAATAAAAATGCTCAGTAAAATTTGTTGTGGCACGTGATTAAAGTTTAATCTGATGCCCACACTTTTGTAATACAAAAAGCATATCATGTGTGTTACTTAATTGCCTATTTGCACTTATACTAATGTTTTTTTATTAGAAAATTGGCATGTGAATAAAAAGCATGCAATTTTACAAAATAGTATAAGTATACTACTTAACCTAGTACACTTTACAAAACAAAATACAGATGAGTGATATACAAAACTTGTCCCAGATTCCTTCTTTCTAATGACTTGTGAGTGGATCCTTCTTGTTTGTAACCCACCTGAAAAGAAAAAGTATGATTGTTAACACTGATAATAGGTTCATGTTAGAAATGCGTAGCAGTAGTTAGATTTTAAGGCCTTACACTTTGTTCCTATGCTTGTCAACTTGGTTTTCCCTTCTCAAACATTTCTGGAAAATCACCTGAAATCAAAGTGAAGAAAACAGCAAGACATTTTCTAATACGATATGTCAATTTGGGATGTAAAATGATCATAACACAGTTATATAAAATAAAAAGAAGCATTTCAACCTTAGCAAACAAAAAACTAAAGCCGTTAAATTAGTAGGACAACAAATTAAAAATCCATCAGCCAGACGTCACAAAAACATTGTATCAAATTGTCTAACATCCAAAAAACAGTAAAAATTGTTTTTTCCACAGTAGAAGTTCATTCAAGCTGTCTTCTCCTTCTTGATGTTGGGGGCTGTTGTTCTCTTGTGACTTTTGGATGAGGAAAACTCATCCAAGAATGACCTTTTGGTAGCTAAGGAGCTGACCACAGTGTCATCAGGTTCATGTTGAGAGGGCTGCATAGATGCAGGACTATTAACCTCTACACCTATAGATGCTTCCTGTATATAAAACAAAGGATTAGAAAGTTTTAGTCGTAGGTAATAACAAAATGAAAAACATAGATCTAGGTTTAGTAAGACATTCTTACTTCAGAAATTTCAGCACTGTTTGTTTCTTCCTCAAGCATCTTTGAGATTAAATCTTGCTCTTGGTGCTCGACAAACCTGTCACTATAAGTCTGGACCAAATGTTCATCCCTTAACAGCCTCAACACATTGAAAGGAGAATTTTTACCCCGCTTTAGAGCCAATTTTAAACCTACTTTAAACAACATCTTCATTCCCACAATAGCATCCAACTTGGGGGGACTTCAACATCAGTCTGCCATTTGGGATTGAATTAGAACATTACAGTAGATGCATATATACAACTAAAACATAGGTTCATGTAAGTACTAATAAACCTACCTCCTTGTATTTCTGATACAATAAGCATGCAGGAATTCCAACCAGCTCAGCAACTTCTCTGTCCCAAAGCAAGAGTGGAGCATCTCCACTCTTGTCTAAAGTAATGATGACCACCTTATACCTGACAGTACCCATAGTATATGGCTTATGACACTTAGTGCACACAAGTGATCCTCCATCATCTTTTAATTTCTTATTACAGCCAGCTGACATGCATGACACATAATACCACCCATCATCAAGATCTAAACCCAAGATTTCAGCAGCAACATAGTATTCCCCATCCTACAGTGGTAAAAAAAAATAAAATTATAGAATATACATAGGAACTCAGATCTTAAATAAACAGTGAATAAAGTAGTTTCTGTTTCTTACCACTTGTGTCCTCTTAAGGTTGTAGCAGGTAGTCACAATGAGTCCACCACTTTTAAAGTCACTAATGCCAGCATCCTGTGAGTGCAGAGTCCCCGTACTCAAACTCTTCATGGGAGTTCTTTCAGATTTCATGCTTCATAAAAAGTTTAAACAAAATCAGTGATTAGCAATATCAAGCATTATATTCACTGGCAGATATTTGATATGTGAACAAAGACCATAACAGAATGCCAATAGGCAATAGTTGAAGAAATGAAACAAAGTGAGCTGATTGTAATATGCCTATTTGCCAAAAAAACTTGTAATGTTTGTTTGATAATTGCATATCTGCATTTTATACTAATTTTTTTTTCAGAAATTTGGCATGTGATGAAAATAAATACTCATGCCCATCATTTACTGAAATAAAAATAATCAGTAAAATTTTTGTGGCATGTGATTAAACTTTATTCTGATGCCCATACTTGTGTATGGAATTTAAATCTGCCTATTTCTCAACATATGATGCGAATACATGAATGATTGATTCTAATCTGCCTATTTTTCAAAACAGTAAGTAATGTGTGTTAGTTAATTGCCCATTTGCATTTTGTAATATCTTTTTTGGGTGCAGAGAATTGGCATATGGTTAAAAACAAATTTCAGACCCATACTTTATATGCCTAACTGTCTATTTGCCTTTTATACCAACTTTTTGTCCAGAAAATAGGCATGTGATGAAATTATAATCTGATGCCTTTCATACTAAGCTTTTAAATCTGGCTTACTGCTTATTACTTCCAGCAATTAAATCTGATGCCTTTTATATAAAATGTGATGCAATATTTTACTTCATTTAAATAACATTATAGAATTACATTAGTGTACTTACTTGGACTTGAACTCTAGAAATTCCTCAAAATCTTCATTGAACCATAGCTTGGTAGCATCATATGTGCTGGTGATTCTAACCTCACCTGGAAAAAAAACACATTAGTTGTCTGGAATGAGTAATTAGCTGCTAGAATGGGAAGGAGGATAGAAACTCACCACTAACCAACTTAGCACGACAGCACTGAATCACAACAATATGTGGTTCGATTGAATCACAATTGTAATACGGCATGAGTGATGCAACATGTTCATTCCATAGAGTACATGACAGTGTGTTCTCACTGCCATGATAGTAGTAAAAACCAAACCAACTTATGTGAGTATAATAAGTCAATACTGATAGGAAAAAACATAAACAAATGAAGTCAATCAGTACTTCATTAATAGGAAAAAACAGGAATAAATGAGTACTTACAGATTATCCTCAATCTGAAAGTCAATCAGTTTCGTTGCCTTTCCACCTATAATCTTATCCACAGGATTATAGATCTCAATTACTCGACCAATAACATCTGGCAGATGAAATTTTTTCATTAAGTTGTTAGCAGTTGAGATTAACATAGGATATTAAAAAAAATAGACAGAAATGAATAGATAGTACCAATAAGTTCCTTGTCGTTCACATCTGCAGTCTCTTTTAAAGAACTGAAACTCTTTAATCGAAACATTTTAAAAGGAAATCCTAAAGAGTTTATCTCCTTCACTTCTGTCTTGTAGTTCAATTTCAGCATATATGCATGCTGTGTAATCTTGTACACATAATAATTTGTCGCAGCAATGAAATTCTTAATTTCGTACAGTTTTCCTTCCTTGAATATCTCTCTATATTTCACCACATGATTTTTTAGAATGCTAGCATGAATATAGCTTCCCTGAAAAAAAAAAACAGAGATTAGTGATATATGAATGGACAAAAATAGATAACAGTTAGATGAATGAACAAAAATAGACAGCATTACCTCTTCATCATGCATTAGTACTTCCATACTCTTATTGCTATTACCCTCTCCCCGTTTCTCTGGCACTTCGAATACTCTGACTGCTCTAACACGAACTGCCCTGAGTTGGTGTTGAGGTTTAATGTCCTTCACAAGTATGAACATTGATGACATTCTGTTAAACTTCCTGATATTATATTCGGGTTGTAAGCAATCAGTTTTTCGAGTGGCAAGAATACTACACACCAATAAGATGATTATTTATAGACCTTGAAGCGTTGGATATTTCAAATGAAGGATCAGCCGATTGTGTATGGGAAAGACGCAAATTTTCAAAATGTATTAATTGCAGAATGCAACTCTGCGTCTTCTTTGTATATATATATATATATATATATATATATATATATATATATATATATATATATATATATATATATATATTAATTATGTTACCATTTGTTTATTCAACCATTGGTTATCTGAGCATGATAATGATGTTGTTTAAAGTACCAAGTATTCTACATTAAATGATTTTCTTGAGACGAAAGGACTTTAGTGTTCTTTTAATTAGATTCACTTCAGAATACGAAGAGTTGTGATAAAGAAAACGGCAAAAACGAAAAGACAATAGGCACGCGTACAACTTCAAACAACCGGCAATTATATCATTTTTATTTTTGCAAAACGGCGTAGTTTAACATAGGATATGCGAAACAATGATTGCATAAAAATGCACAATGGCGTTTTGTCCAATGGGCGGGAAACAATGATTGGCAAAATTTTCTTGCTTTATTATAGAGTTAGATTAGATTAGATTTGATTCCATTATGATTCTGATTCCCATGTGCGAACCAAAACACACCTTAAGTATCTCTAGAAATTTTCTTAGACTCTAAATAATATAAAATCAGGCCGGGGATACTATAATATTTTTCAAATTACTTTTTTTTGGCTGATCAAAATCTTACAATTATCCCTAACAATTGTCACCTTATTCTTTTATCACCAAATTACAATTTTTTTTCCATAATTCCTTCCTTCCAACCAAACGCTCCACGAATGCACTAACTGACTACTCTTCTTTTGATATATTAGTTTTAGATATTATCAGTTTAATTAGTCAAATTGCATAGGTGACTATCTCTTTTGTTAAATGGTTTGTGAATGGGAGTGACCCACAAGCTTGCTCAGGAATCCCTTTTGATATCTGACTATAGGTGGTTTGATATCCCTTCTCATTTTCTTTGTAGTGCTATTATGATGGATGAGTGTATGACTGAATAGTATGTTTTCTTTGTTTCCAAAAAAAAAAAAAAAAAAAAAAAAAGAAAAAAGAAAAAAAAAAAAAGAACAAAATAAAAACATATAGAAACAAAAATACGGAGTAACAATTATTTAAAAACTCAGACAAAAACTTTCCCTAGTAAATCATTGCGTTTTTTGATCTTTTTGTTTTAATGGTCTAGGACTATGACAAATTATTGTGTGGACATGGATTACATAATTGTATGAACCGTGAATATCAGGTATATTGTTAATTATTAATATATTAAAAGTACATTATTTGTATACTAAAGATATATTATTTAATACTCCGTAGTATATATAAAATAGTGTTTCAATATTCAAATAATATACTTTTTCAATACACAAATAATGTACTTTTAGTATATTTAAAATGTACTTTTCATTTATAATCCACACAATTAGATAGACCATTATCCATGTAATAATGATTGTAAGACTATCAATCATTATGCCAAATGGTGAACACGGTTCCAACGGTGTTAGTACACCATTATCTTTTTTTTTTTTTTTTTTTTTTGTTCTTAATTAATTGCGTGACTTTTCTTCTTCATTTTCACATTTCGCTATTTCACTTTAATTTGAGGTGAGCAATGATTTCGGACATTCATAAATTATGAATTCATGCCTGCACATTCACTTTGGAACCATGCCTACACATTCCCGTCCGAAATCACGGACATTCATAAATTATGAATCCATGCCTGCACATTCACTTTGGAACCATGCCTACACATTCACTTTGGAACCATGAGATTATGAATTTTCTGTTATAAAATTATGAATTTTCAGTTATGAGATTATGAATTTTCTGTTATGAAATTATGAATCTACATTACATTCATAATCTCATTCTCATAACAGAAAATTCATAATCTCATAACATAAAATTCATAATTTAATAAATATTTTACTTTTATGCGATTATGAATTTTCTGTTATGAGATTATGAATTTTCATTACATTCATAATCTCATAACAGAAAATTAATAATTTGATCAAACGCGCGCCGTTAACTCCACATCCGTGATTATTATTTTTTTTTTTGCATAAAAACGACGTCGTTTAGACTTATGTTCACCATTCACGGTGAACACGTTTCCCGGGCATAATTTGCATAGGACTATCAACTGGGCTTCCAAACTGATGGTAGGGCCCATTGGGCTGGACCAATATATGCGCTTAACATTTGTTAAGTAAATCAACATAGCCCAAATTAAATTAATGAAATTTATTTAGTCTCTTTCGTCACTACACCAGTTGTTATCAATCGTTATGCTATGGACCCATATCCAGCAGCATACATTGTGGACACAATAATGGTGTCGTTAGTGGCACCGTTATCCTTCACAATTTTTTTAAAAAATTTCAGACCGCTTCGTTATGGGAATATATGTTCATAATTTTATCACTTTATGTTCATAATGTCATAGTTCTGTGTTCATAATTTCATAACTATACATTCATAATTCTATAACTGTACATTCATAATTCTGTAATTGTGCATTCATAATTCGATAACTGTAAATTCATAATTTTCAAAGCTCTATGTTCACAATTTTAGAGCTCTACGTTCATAATTTTATCACTATATGTTCATAATTGTGAGTTTATAATGTCAGAGCTCTGTGTTCATAATTTCATACTGTACATTCATAATTCCATAACTGTACATTCACAATTCCACAAACGAATAACGTCGTTAACGCCGTTAACAGTGAGACAAAATCAATTTTTTTAACTGCAATGCCGTCATTTTTCCTGAAAACAACGTCGTTTGAGACTCGTGTCCACAATGCATTGTGGACACGAGTTCACAGGATAATTTGCGAGTTGTTATATCATGGACCAGTGTCAACTTGTAAGGTGGATTATGGTTCTAAATTGTGTATTTTAGTATTGGAATTGTGACATCTAAAATATAAATTGTGAATATTTAATACGTAAATTATGTATCTTTGGATTCGAATCCGCCTTGCAAGATGGACTCGGATCCATAAAATAATTTGCCTCACTACACGGCGTCGTTTGGAAAACCAGCAGCAAGTTTGACGCCACGCTGATACTAATTACGGCAACCCAACCCTAAAGCGGAAGACTTATTCTGTCAAACCTCGCACTCTCTCTCATTACCACGTCTACTCTGAATCTGAGCTATGGCGAATTGGTCGAGGAACTCTTCCCTACCTCTTCTCTTCTTCTTCTTGGTGTCATGGACTGCAGTCGCGGCCAGTTCCGATGGCCCCTTCATCATCGCCCACAAGAAGGCCACCACTACCAGGCTGAAATCCGGTTCCGAACGTGTCTCTGTCACCATCGACCTCTATAACGAAGGATCTGCGTATGTTTTCCCTCAATTCTCATCTTCCTCACTTCTCTTTTTGCAGATCTGTCCATCTATCTTGTTTTTCATCCTGCATGCGAGTTTCTACACATGTCTGTGTGCATGTTTATATGTGAGCTGAAAGATACAGTATTTGCTACTTATTTATTACTTTTTTCTTTTCTTTTCTTGTATATCGTGGAAAACGGTTTACTCATTAAATTGATACCTTGTTTTCTTCCAATTTAGGCATGCGAATTTAACTCGGTGAAGTCATTTTTACTGTAACAGGATGAATTAATTCACATTTAATTTGCTAATTGTTATTACGGAGCACTACTCTACTAGCTTTGTTCGTTCTCATTTGCTGATCTATTGGTTTTATGCATTTAATTGAGGATTTGGTTAGCATTACACTAGTCAATTGCATAGTAGCGACCTGTTGCAGGTAGTAATTAGATTTGTTATGTATCTGATGTTAATTCTAAAATCTAGCAGATCAATCTCTACTATTACATTTGATACCATCCATGTTGTTTCCTAAAGTCTATTGATATTATCCTCAATATACTTAATAAACTCATCTGGGACAATCTGAGCCTATAGTAGTATTTGCTGCATCTGGAACCTGCTGCTTTTTATGTTGATCTATTATCAAGTCACAGAGAGCATATTCAGATGCCTTGTGATTGTTGAACTATAGTATTAGTGCTATTATACTACTTTTCTGTCTAAATGTAATCTTCTTTTTGTTAATATATTTGTATTTTTTTTAAAAATAATATGGAATATTTTCTGCTTTGCAGGACTGCTTATGATTTGAGTCTTAACGATGATACCTGGCCCAAGAATATATTTGACATTGTCACTGGTAACACTTCTATGTCATGGGATCGGCTTGATGTGTGAGTCTTCGCTATTTCAATCCAGCCTCAACTTTTCTCCAAAAGTTCTTGACCCACCTAAGCATTTCCTTTTAAATAAGTTGATCTTAATTGTGCTTTTACATACAATTCTTTCTCATGCTGATTTTATGTTTTCAGAGGTGGTGCTCTATCACATTCCTTTGAATTGGAGGCCAAAGCTAAAACATTGTTTTATGGTGTACCAGCAGTCATAACCTTTCGTGTCCCCACCAAGGCTGCTCTGCAGGTTTGAATATGCACTCTAGTAAATAGTAATCTAGTTCAGTAGTTGTGTACATGAATCCTCTTAATGTTTACTTGTCTTCATTTAGGAGGCTTACTCTACTCCGATCTTGCCTCTTGACTTACTAGCAGAGAGACCTACTGAGAAGAAGTTTGACTTGGTAAGGGTGATATTTGTTCCAGCTGCATATGCCAATTTTTTGCCTGATATATTGATTTACTAAAAACACTATTTCCTTTTTTGCATGGGATTGTCTTATGCTGATGGTTAATTATTAATCAGGCCAAGGTATGGTTTCTTATCATCATTATTATTATGGATTTAGTTTTGAATGCATATGAACATATACACACACGTGCGTGTGTGTAATAACTCTGAAGTAGAGAGGGTGGAA